TTGTATTATATATTTAATAAAATTAATACACGTGAAAATAAAAGTAAATAAAAATCTATGAATATTTCTTTAATTATAATAATCTACATAATTTAGGTCAGTTTGTATTAAGTGTAATTAAAAAATGTAAATTTTTAAGGTTTCAATAACCCTGAAAGTTATTAATGGACTCTACTGCGGTGTGTCTACACAAGAATTGGATAACTTGGCCGCGGAAATTGCAGCCAGTTTAACAACCCATCATGCGGACTATGCTCTTCTGGCGGCAAGAATCGCAGTTTCCAATCTTCATAAAGAAACTAAAAAAGTATTTTCAGGTAATTATATATATATATATATATATATCACATTACCGATTACAGCTGAGAACGGAACAAATTACCATTTTAGACAACCAAAGTATTTTATATAATATTTTGGCAAATAAATACAAGAGGTTAACAGTAAAGTAGTTTTAATATTTCTAACTATAAATCTCTAGACGATAAAGTTATTCGAGTTGTCTCCTGTCTCCAGATTAAAAACCTATAAATGCATATACCAAGCCAATTCAATAAGGGCCTCCAAATCAGGTAGCCGTAGTTTCTTAGATAGCAATTTATGGACGCATCCGGATTCCGATTCCGTTGCCCATTTCAATTCGCGAATGAGCATAAACACGAGCATAACTGAAGATTGTTTTTTGTTAAAAGTATGTAATAGACAGAAAGAGGCGTGGCAGAGCCCATAAAGTATATATTCTTGATCAGGTCTTTATAGCCATGTCCGTCCGGAATACCATCAATATCTCGATAACGTGACATAATCGATATTGTGACTTTGTTTTTACGCGTAATTTGAATATACACAAATGATTCATGTAATGAAATCAAAGATAATTTATTTTATATACATTTGTAAGTATTCGCTCTTGTATGTATAGATATTATTCAACTGAAAGTGATGTCAGACCCTTTAATTTAATTTTAAAGAATCCAAAAAATTTAATTAAAACTCATACAAATATTCCACATTTTTATCTTTATTTCAGATGTTTTTGAAGATCTTTTTAAGCACGTGAATAAAGAAACAAATTTGCCTTCCCCTTTGGTTTCTGAATATCACTACAATATTGTTAAAAATAATTCAGATCGCTTAAACTCTGCTATTATATATGATCGCGATTTCGGATATAACTACTTTGGATTCAAGACACTTGAGCGGTCGTATTTGCTAAAAATAAATGGAAAAATAGCAGAAAGACCACAGCATTTGCTAATGCGTGTCGCCATAGGTATACATGGCGAAGATATTGATTCTGCAGTTGAAACCTACAATTTGCTATCTGAGCGTTTTTTTACTCATGCATCACCAACTCTTTTTGCTGCAGCCACAAATCGTCCACAATTGTCTTCATGTTTTCTTTTAACTATAGTGTCTGATTCAATTGAAGGGATTTTTAAATCAGTTGAACAATGCGCAATGATATCAAAGTCGGCAGGTGGCATTGGACTTAATGTTCACTGTATTCGAGCTAAAGGCACCTCAATTTGTGGAACGAACGGCACTTCAAATGGATTAGTACCAATGTTAAGAGTATTTAATAATGTCGCGCGTTATGTTGATCAGGGCGGTGGTAAAAGACCTGGAGCATTTGCTATATATTTGGAGCCTTGGCACTCAGATGTCTTCGAATTTTTGGACCTTAAAAAAAATACTGGAAAGGAGGAGCATCGTGCACGCGATCTTTTTTTTGCATTGTGGATACCTGATCTTTTTATGAAACGTGTTGAAGCTAATGAAGACTGGTCATTAATGTGTCCACATAAATGCCCTGGCCTCCCAGATGTTTGGGGTGAAGATTTTGAAAACCTCTATATCAAATATGAACGAGAGGGACGAGCGAATCGAGTTATTAAGGCTCAATCTCTTTGGTTTGCCATCATTGAATCTCAAGTAGAGACTGGTACTCCTTACATGTTATTTAAGGACTCTTGTAACAGAAAAAGCAACCAACAAAATGTTGGAACTATAAAATGCAGTAATCTGTGCACAGAAATAGTTGAATATTCGGCACCAGATGAAATAGCTGTGTGTAATTTGGCGTCTATCGCACTTAATATGTTTGTGACGCAGGAGAAATCTTATGACTTTAAAAAGCTTAAAGAAGTAACTAAAATCGTTACGAAAAACTTAAATAAAATAATTGATATAAATTACTACCCTTTGCCAGAAGCTAAAAAATCAAATTTACGTCACCGTCCTATTGGTATTGGAGTCCAAGGGTTTGCGGACGCATTAATATTAATGCGGTATTCCTACGAAAGTCGTGAAGCATTTTTATTAAATCAGCAGATTTTCGAAACTATATACTATGGAGCTTTGGAAGCCAGCTGTGAATTAGCTCAGAGAGATGGACCATATGAGACTTATGTTGGCAGTCCAGTAAGCAAAGGAATTTTGCAGTATGATATGTGGAAAAAATCACCAACAGATCTTTGGGATTGGAATGCTCTTAAAAAATCTATAGCGCAACACGGTGTCAGAAATTCTTTACTCATCGCTCCCATGCCTACAGCATCCACTGCGCAAATATTGGGCAATAATGAGTCGTTCGAGCCTTATACTTCAAACATTTACACAAGACGAGTTTTGTCTGGCGAATTTCAGGTAGTGAACCACCACTTACTACGTGATTTAACTGAACTTGATTTGTGGGATGACGAGATGAAAAATCAAATAATATCAAGTCGTGGTTCAATACAAAATATTGAATCTATTCCTAAAGAAATTCGTGATTTGTATAAAACTGTGTGGGAAATTTCAGTCAAATCAACTATAAAAATGGCGGCTGATAGAGGAGCGTTTATTGATCAAAGTCAGTCTTTCAATATTCATGTAGCTGAACCCAATTATGGAAAATTAACGTCAATCCATTTTTATTCATGGAAAGCGGGTCTTAAGACCGGCATGTATTATCTTCGCACAAAACCAGCGGCTAATGCTATACAATTCACTGTAAATAAAAATATATCTGTCCTGGAATCTAATGGTCATAGCTCATTTGAAAAAAATACTTTATTAAAAGTAGATAATCCAAGCGAGTCTGATATAGAAAGAGAACGTAGAATGGCAGATATGATTTGTTCCCTTGAAAACAAAGATGCCTGTTTATCTTGCGGATCATGAATTCTTTTATAAGTAAAACATCTATTAATAATAAATATATCGTATCACTTAACTATACGGTTTCTTTTTGTATATTGAAATAGAAAAACTTTATAGTTTATAGTTTTTGAAAATAAAATTATGTCAGTGCGCATTAACTTAATTTTATGAATCCTCTATAAATGGGGTGATATACAAATTAGCCAAATTATTATATAGGGCTTTTCATTAAGGGCGGGTAGATGTTGAAATGGAATAAAACAAGCTATGCGTGAGGTATTGACAAACTTATTTATTAATTTGAAAGGCGCATATATGTCATTAACTGTGGAATATGACATCATTCAAATGCCCACTTCGGCTTTTTACCACCAATGTTGTTTTAAAAAAATTACAGACCAATGAAGGCGCCGATTCAAAATCCACACCAACCAGTAACTTTTTGAGGATGCATTATCACCTGGTAAACGTCGAACAGTAGAGCCTCTGCCTCTACCTGGCAAAAATAAGTAAAGTCATGACACCGATTTCGGATTTTTTGAAGCAATTCGATTGGAAATTAACCATAGGGATAGATTCTAAAATTTTTTGAAATTAGACGAATTTTAAGGGTGGTTATGATCCCTCAAAGTTGGGTAAATTTGCAAACTGAAAGATTGGTTTATTCCAAACCAAACAAGTAAGAACGTTGCAGTCGGGCGTTACCGACTGCGGAATACTCATCAACAATTTAGTAGTTAAGTTTCGCTCTCATACTGTAGAAAATGCAGTTTTTCCCGATTTGCCAAGCCTCTGTTGGGCGTAGATTTTTGGTCTCATATAGACACACACGTACACAAACATTAACACACACACAAACACATACACACACAAGCATAAACACGCATGGGCTGCATTGTGCGATTACTATGAGAACTTAATTGTTTAATAACTTTTTTTGTGGACGTGGATTATAGCATGGATATGCATGAATTTGCCAAAGCACAAGTCTAGTATTTGAAATACGCTTTTTACAAAAGTGTGGGTGAGGGGGTGAATTTRGAGGTGGGGGTAAATTTTAACAAAAACCGAAATTGTATAAATTGCATATAAGCAAACATTAAAAATATGGAGACTCTAGCAATAAAGGTGTAGAAGATATAATTTTATTACTGGTTTTCGATAAGGGGTTTATCGATAAAAAAGATCGGGATGAGTTATCGATTTTTAATGATAAACTCGATATCAGCGAACTCGACTTTATAGAATCATAAGCTGTAAAACTCTTTGAGATACAGTTTTATCCGATTTGCCACGCCCCCAATGGGCGGAGATATATCCGCCATATCTCGTGATCTAGGGTGGTCGACGCGGACCTACATACCAAATTTCAGCTCTTGAACTAACATGATTTCTGGCATATCGGAAAATGCATTTTCCGATTTGCCACGCCCCTAGTGGGCGGATCAGGAAAATTTTGACACTTTATAAATCGGAGACATACACAAGGATGTGCGCAGCAAATCCAATAGAGCCAATGGGTCTACGGGCTGCAGCCGATAAAAGCAACCAGGCAGGTCGACAGTTCGAACAGCTGGACGGTTGTTAAGCGACGCAAGCCGCTGCAAAAACGTTCCAGAAGTGACGCCATCGCGGTTTCAGGTGTAGGTGGTTGCAGCTATGAGGACATGCTTCGTGTAGTCAAGACCGACCCAAATTTAAAGCATCTGAGCGGCGACGTTCAAGGCATTAGGAAGACAGCTAAGGGGGACCTTGTGTTGCAACTGAGCAGAAAGCCGGAGCATAGCGCTGAGGCCCTTCACGAAGCTGTAGGCAAGGTCTTGGGTGACCGAGCGGTAGTTAAAACACTTACCGAATCGGCTCAAATTGAGATTCG